TAGATACCTATATAGTCATAGTTGCCAACCCATAATGCCTCTATTTTATTCTCAAGGCCTACACGATGGGATATTGTGGTTCACTTTGCTATTTGTTTTCATATAAAAATGTATGTTATACAAAAAACAGTTTAATAAAGAATAAAATTGTAAATAGTAATAGAATTATAAAAGTTTTATTAAAAACTGAAATATGAATCTTATTAAAAATATAATGTCTCATATACTATCTATAAATATAAATGTGAAAACCAATTCATATGAGATAATATGAGAACATAAAATATTTGATGTAAGAGTTATTAAACACAATTGGTAGAATATCTTATAAACTAAGATTATTTATGTTATGTTGATTATGTACCGGATTGTTTCCGCTCTATTAATTATGTATCCAGTTTACGATGTTATATATTTTTGTATATCATATCTATGAAATTATAGTAGATTTCTCTCACTTGTGGATGTAAGCAAGTTATACCAAAATAAGTAAATATCGTATCTCTTTGTGTGGTATGATTTTATTTCTATGTTATTAATTTTGAATGTATGTTTTTTATTGCACGATCTCCTAACATTATGAGCTCTCTCTTCTATGATTAAGATCCTTCCGTACAAAAGAATGGATAGATCCTCTCATTTTCCTTTTAATTAGTGAAATTATATCTATTTCTTTCTTAAGAAATTGTGGTCGACCTTGACTGAATAAGAGTTGGGTTATTTTAAGTAAATATATGTGTTTTACATAATTCTTATGTTTCTTTTAACGAAGTAAACAGATTCTAGATGAAAGAAACTCAAAAATTCAAGTGGGGGGTCAAAACAAAATATATCTACTTGGGTACGGCTGCTATATTAGCAGCCTTGTTTGAGGATGATTCCCAGACAGGTTCAAGAAAACACTCGTAGCTATTTTTAGGTATGTTTATTGGTTGGTCTATGATGCTTTATTTGATGAATAATAATGAAGGGAGTATGCATGTGACTCGGCTTTCTTTCATTCAACATAAAAGAGAAGTTGAAAGGAAAAGCAAAAAAAAAAAAAAAGGTAAAGTGAATAAAACGAGGAAGTGTTTGTGGGTGCTTGAGTTTTTGTCTGGGGCTTTGAACAAAAATGCCCCCACGTTTGAGCTTGCCTTTCCCTTATCTACAGTGTGTTCTTTTGTCCCCTAACATTAAAATTGATTTCTTTTTTCTATTTATTTCAATGTAGACAAAAGAATAAATTGTTCTTTTGGTTCCCTGCCCCCACTTCCATTATTTCATTTGTGACGGCCTTTGATTTCCATTTCATGACAAAAATTAAAGGCAAACTTGTTTTGTTAACGATATTAATTATCTTTGGATAATCGAATGATTTGATATGAACTCTTAGATGTATTATTCAAAAGATTTTAAGTTCGAATATCTTTTTGGATGCTAATTGGGATAGTTACTAGAGTTTTTATCCGATCGGTAGTTCTAAGGTTCTGAGAGATTAGTTGAGGTGTGCGTAAGTTAACCCAGATACCTCCGGTCATAAAAAATAAAAATAATAATGGCATGGTATATATTTAATATAATAATGTTGTATTAAGAAAGATGAAGGTGTTGCATACTGAATGGAAGTTTTGAGTTTTGTTGTGTTAATTAATACTTTCCTCAAGATGTTTAAGCAATTAATCACAAAATTTAGGACTCCATTCGTGAGCAAAGAGTTACAATTAAATAAATGAGTTGGAACAACTTTTTTTAATATTAAAGACACTATTTTCTTTATACAATGGAAGTCAGGAAGTGTGCCCTTTGCAACATGAAAAGTCGTTTTAGTTGTGTTATATTAAACACCCATTTTCGTTTTTATAAAAATGTGTTATATTTTATTTTATGAGTTTGACATTTTATATTTAAAAAGAAAAAAAAACGGATCTTAATATGAAAACAATATACAACTATTAAATACAATATAAAATTTCAGTTATTTCTAAATATTTTAATATTCAAACATGCATTTCATATAATATTTGAGCATTGAATTGCTAAAATATGGCACTCTGTGAGAAGGTTTGATTTTTCTATGTGACTTACTGACTTTATTATATTTATTTATTTAATTTTCCAAAATAGATCATCCAGGATACATGTAAATCAATAATATTATTGATTCGGTCTTATAATTCTCCCATTTACAAAATTAAAAATCACGAAAAAAAACATAAAGAAAATAATTTCTTTTTCATGTTTTAGCTTCCAATCATACTTTAAATCTAAAATTGATTGGTAAAAACAGTTAATCAAATATTAGTAGCAAAGAGTTTTAATAAAACTTTAAATCAAACATTCTACTAAATTCCCATAAAACATTTTATTCTATTTTACGAAAGAAATAAAAGTACATTTTTAGATATTAGTTTAACGTTAAAAGGGAAAAATTTCAATATGTGATAATTAGATGCTTACCATCAGGTAAAAAGCTATAGCTAGGGGTGGACGGGTCCAAGTACTTGCCCAAATCCCATAGAATCAGAATTGAAATTGGAATTGGAACCGGTTCCTAAAAGCCTAGAATCGAAACCTAAAACACAGGTTTCGGTATAGATTCCAGTTCCAAGTACTAAGGAAAATTACATTACCCCCTACTAATGACAAATACACTCCAAAAATTATAATATACTGATTTCGAGTAGGAATCGAAACTTGAATCTTGGATACTCACCGATTTTGATTCTACCTTATTTTTTTGCCCACCTCTAGCTATAGTTGTGAGCAGAGATGTAACCTTACTTTCTTAAATGATCACTTTTATGTTCATAATTGGAGGTGACTCGACCCTCAAACCTTCTTTATCGACAAGATGTTGGCATGAATAAGTAAATAAAAAAAAAAAGCAAACATGAGAATTATAGAATAATATTGAAATGGAGATTGGAGAATTGGGGTTTGGGCCCATATGGGAAGCAAGGGGCCGACCAGGCTAAGTAGGTGGTGTAATTGTGTCAAATCAAGGGGGCCCTCACCTTCCAAGTTTGGCTTCTTGTCCGCAAAGTTAGCCTTTGGAACCACCCTTCTTCTGGTTCATTTTTCGTCATCATTTTAAGCTTATTTTGTTTCATCATTTCATTCCTGTGTTTCACTCTTCTGTACTTCTTTCATTCTTACTCCCCTTTACCTTGTCACAATTATATCACTAACCAGCAATGGCGGCTTTCATGAATCATTACTCAATTCTCATAATTCCATCATCACTCCCAATTATCACTAATCCAGGAGATAATTACATTTACATCTACTTCTATGTTGATTAATTATTTAAATATATAAATATTGGAATGTGGGGTTTCAGTGAGCAGATCATGAATCATGGTTTTGGTGGCCACCACAACTCACAAACCACCTGATCCCTCATTTATAATTCGTTCTCATAATCTTTAATTAATCAAAAAATAAAAAAGAAATAAATACAGGATTAATTATGTTGCTGGATAATAATATAAATTTTCTATATTATTATAGTATGTATAGAACAAAAATGTTTTCAAATACTATAATCAACCCTTTGTTTTTTTAAGAATATATGAAGTTAAACCTTGGGAACTTTTTTTTTTTTTCCCTCGTATTATAAAATCATTACGTATAAAAGTCAAAGTCAAAAGTATTTATATGAGAAGTATAACGAATGGGCGGCTGATATACTCTTGCCAATGAATAATGAACAGATATAATCAAATTCGTCGAAAATTTCCACGTATTAGAAAAGTGGGTCCTACAAGGTCTACTGTCAAGATGATCATCAACCGGAGATGGTCGTTCACCTACCGAATCAACAAAAAAGAAGGGGCCCGGAGGGAGAGGCCCGCTCTTCGATAAAAATTCTCCAGATTTTAAGGGGTTCTTTGGTCATTTCAACGTGGGTTCTCATTTCGCAAAAGCAAAGAAAGATCACAGATTCACTGTGTAGTAATTAATTAATTAATGACTCCTTAATAAATAATAATAGTAATGCACACAAAACGTCACCGTCTCTCAATTTCTGAAAAGCGTATGACATGATATGACCCGGAATCAGATCACGGATCCACGGGTTTTGTCACTTTTTGTTATCTTTTTTATCCTTGCTCGTTTTCGCTTGCCTTGAGCTTGACTATCAAGTTTTAATTATTACTCACTAATCAAGTGCTAAAATTTTCAATTAACTTTTCGGTCAAAGGCTAGGCCACGACCTCATCATACCAACAGTAAATTTAACTTTTAATTAATTAAATTAAATCAACATTGTTAATGTTAATACGGGAATTAATTAAAATTTGAGAACATCCCTAGATTTTATCCGACGAAAAGATAATATCTTTATGAGATTCATAAATGACCCTTGTTTCACCGAACTACTACATTCTCCTCGGTTGACTCCCAAAAAAATCTTGACCCGAGTCACCCAACCTCCGCTCCAATCGCCACCAAATATTCGGACCCCGAGTGGCTCAACCAAATCTAGTAAACCCGAGCCCAACTCCAACTCCCCCCCGCCCGCTCATCTAACCGCCACATCATCACATTCCAAGGTCCTTTTAGTCAATTCGATTATTTTAGTTGATTAAATTTACCAAAAGAACCCTTCAACGTGCAGCCCTGCCTCAAAGGACAACATTACGTTCAGACCAAAAACCAAGTACCAAAGTTACGTAATCACACATATTTTTCCCGAGTGTAGAGGGTCCGTTTGGTTCGCATTTTAATTGTTACAGCAGAAAAAATGTGGCTGAACGTCCACTTCCAAACAGAGTCTTAAGAGTTAAAAGAAACAGTAGTGAAGAAAGAAAAATAGTAATTAAAGAAAAAAAGAAAATGTAAAAAAAATGACTGCTTTGGAAATGTCTATTCATAATTGTTTTCAAACTCAGGCGATTTCATGATACTTTTCGTTTATTTTGTTTTCTCATCTTTGACTCCCTCTGTACTTTTGATTTTTTAATTTTTACAAAGACCGAAGACTCGGCGTCCGGTTTTCTTTCTCTCTCTCTCTCTCTCTCTCTCTCTCCGAGTCTCTCCGGTGGTCCATTGCCGGAGCGGAAGCGATCAGGTAGATCTGGTGGTGGAGGTGGAGAGTTGATGGTGGAATGGTTGGGAGAACAAAGTAGAAGAGAGGGTGAGTACTGTATAGGATGAACGGAGGATTGGCGAGGGATCGAAGAGGGAGGTGGTGCTTTGGTGAATCTCTCACATGGAATGGCAGATCTTGTTAGCTACGGGAATGCCCACCGTGATATTGAGCAGGTCTTCTTCTTCTTCTTCTTCTACTACGACTTCTTTTGTTTTTGTTTTTGTTTTCACTCTGCTTTTTTGCTCTCTATTTGTAACAAAATTTCCGCCTTTATTTTTATTTTAGATATTTTGTTGTTGAAAATAATGGGGATTTTCTCCGTTAAATTTGGGTTTGGTTTCGTTTATTTGAAAATTAAAAAGTTCGAAAATGGACCCTATTTCTCTCTTTCTTTATCCTTTTTTTTTTTTTTTTTAAGTTTAATTTTTGGGTAATTAGTTATTTACCTTTTAATGCGGGTTGAATTCTGTTATGTGTTGTGTGATTTATACAAGAGACAGAACCAAGCCCGTTTTGGCTACTCTTGGAACGGAATAAAACCTGAAAATGTTATTATTTTGTGAAATGAGCTGATACTTGGCTAGGCATGCATTTGAAAACTAGGTGTTTTTATGGGTAGTCTTTGGCTAGTAACTTTGATATTTTTACTCGGTTATTTGATCTATTAAATGATGGACTGTTGTACCAAGATGAAGAAAGGGGAATATTGGGTTGCAAATGTCTGTTTTTTGTTAACAAACTAAGTTCTTGACTCTATGACTGTCAACTAAGGTTACATTTAGTATGATGAGAGTACCAATGATAGGACTCGTGATAGACTGATAGTGTATGATGAATATGAATGATGTTTTGAAAGGCATTATGTGTTTTTTCAGTTTTCGGTTTGAATTTAGATCCTTTATTGGGGGAGTAGCAAACATAATCTTCATTTTGAATAGCACCATTTCCCGTTTACATGATTTTCTGGAGCAACTCTTACATTTTCCAAGATGTTTTGTGCCCTCAGTGGGGTAGTGTCTAGCGCGGCATCGTGTTGTTGCATATCAGAGAAGCTCTAAAATTCTTTGATTTGCTGCACAGAGTGGAGCTTAAACCAGTGATAGTTCTAAAGAGGTTTTGTGGAAATTTCACTATGTGTTGTGACAGTCGTAGAGTGACATTCCACTACAAATGTCTTTTGTCAGATTCTGTTCACAAACCTATAAAATACCAAGCATGGAAGCATGCACTTCTTCCAATAAGTTTGAATTAGAAGCTGATTATCCTGTCAGAGCCAGCCAGTAAAAAATGTAATCTGTGAATAGGGTTCCATAATTTATTTGCCGTAAATCATGCATTCATGTGGTTCATGGGGAAATTGAAGCATGCTTGTCAGATTTTTGTGTTATAAAATTTTGAAAACTGATGCAATCAATCTGCTTTTTTTTTTTTAATTCTAGTGTCTGTAGTTCTATCATGTTTATATATACTTTCTGTAGTTCCATGAAATAGTTTATGTTGCTGTGGTTTTGTTCTGAGGTTTGTTAATTATATTTCTGCCTTTTGCAGGCTTTAATTGCTTTGAAGAAGGGTGCTCAGCTTCTGAAGTATGGTCGTAAGGGCAAGCCTAAGTTTTATCCATTTAGACTTTCTAATGTAAGTTTTATATAAAAACCTTTAAGTTGGTTGCTTTGAGACTTTCATGCCTATTTTTATTTAAATGAACAGAAAAGTGTGATAGATATATTATGCCAAAATGTGCTCAATTATAAATGATTTTAGTGAAAATATGCTGTAATGCAACTGCCGGTGAAAGTGTGATGTAGAAAATGCCCGCTATCTGATATGATGTTAGAGAGCAAAAATAAACTGTTTAATAAGACCAAAATGTCTAAGGCAAATCAGAATTTGATTTATTGAGTACCTTTTATAGATGATACAACTTTCAAGAAAGCAAAATTTAGAGTAGACAAAGAGCAGCGGATGTGACAGGGTTGCATTAACTAAAAAATATCTTTAATTGGACAAAGATTTTAACATATTAGAGTTGGGCATGGTACTGTAAGTGTGCGATATCCCTGGTTTTATTGTGGTTTGCATGGATTGGAAGGTTGATTGTGGTTTGCATGGATTGGAAGGTTGATTGTGGTATTTCTCCATTCCTCCTTTGACATATTGCCCAAATTTTTAAGATATTTAGTATTTGTTCTTGCTTGATTATTTTTTGTGACATATTGCTGTAATGCTTTAGTCCTTGATCCTAACAATTTTTACTTAGATTTAAGTGACTTTTGTCCAACTTTAGAGTGTTCTTCACTGTCAACTATGAAGTTTCGTACTTGCTGTTTGCTGTCTTAACTGCCTGTGGTTGGTTACAGAAGTTATCTCATCTTGTTGGTCGCTTCATGGATGTTGTGTAAGACTTATCTATTAGGTTCCTTCGTCATGTGGGAAATTGAGTTCAAGGGGGGGAGGGATTAGTTTATTACTTAAGCTACTTGCTAGTTGTCTGGCTCTTGTTCATGTTTAAGATCTTTGTGCATCATGGCTACTGCAGCTTAACGTNGACTTTTGTCCAACTTTAGAGTGTTCTTCACTGTCAACTATGAAGTTTCGTACTTGCTGTTTGCTGTCTTAGCTGCCTGTGGTTGGTTACAGAAGTTATCTCATCTTGTTGGTCGCTTCATGGATGTTGTGTAAGACTTATCTATTAGGTTCCTTAGTAATGTGGGAAATTGAGTTCAAGGGGGGGGTGGGGTGGGGAAAGGGATTAGTTTATTAGTTAAGCTACTTGCTAGTTGTCTGGCTCTTGTTCATGTTTAAGATCTTTGTGCATCATGGCTACTGCAGCTTAACGTTAGTGAGAACAAAATATTGCCTTCTTTGAGGAAATAACTTGAATTTTGTCAAATACAATATGGCCTTAATTCAGAAATCCATGGTTTTAAGTCAAATAAGTATCCCAAGCTGTTCAGCTTAAAGTATTGCTGTATGTTTTACTTATGCTTATTCAGTTTATTGCTTTTTGTAGTATTGTTACTATACAAGCTTATCTTCTTTCATGTGTTCGTTTCTTTTATGATCTACTTAACTTATGTGCACAATCACAGGACGAATCATCTTTGATCTGGATATCAAGTAGTGGAGAAAGAAGTTTGAAGTTAGCTTCTGTATCTAAAATTATTCCTGGACAAAGAACTGTGAGATTTCCTTGTTTTATTATTCTGTACTACTATTATTCTTTTTATGTTATTTTTAGCATGTGTGAATCTTTTAACTTAATGATTTAAGCTTCTGTCTCTAAAGTTTTCTTAATATCCTTTCAGGCTGTTTTCCAGCGGTACCTTCGTCCGGAAAAGGACTATTTATCTTTTTCTCTTATATACAATAACGGAAAGCGGTCACTTGATCTGGTTGGTGATGAAACTTTGTCCATAAATACATGGTCTTTTTTTCTTTGTGTTTTTCTTGGGTCTTATTCGTGCATTACCTGGTTTAATTGTAAGCTTCATATTCTTTTCTTTTTAGATTTGCAAAGACAAAGTTGAGGCAGAGGTGTGGATTGCTGGCTTAAAAGCATTAATACCCTCTGGACAAGGTGGTCGCTCCAAAATTGATGGATGGAATGATGGAGGCCTCTACCTTGAGGTAGTTTTACCTGCCTTGATACATCTATTGGTTGATATTTGTGTTGTGCTTTATTTCTTGTTTCACTCAGTGATGCTGTACCATTAAAAGCCTAAGTCTGGTTTTCATTCTTCCAAATTTGTTAATGTGTTATTTGAAAATGCATACCTTAAGTTTTCTGATATATAAACTATATTAGAATGGTGCATTATGTGATGAATTGATTGTTGTTTTCATTTTATAAGTTCAGCTGCATATTATGTCTGACATGTAAATTTGCCATCAATTAAATTCAGGATAGCAGAGACTTGACTTCAAATAGTGCAAGTGATAGTTCTGTGAGTGTTACACGAGATATTAGCTCACCAGAAGTTTCTGTCAGTTTGAGCAACCCAATTACTTCTCCAAAGAGCTTTCAACCTGAGAATTCCATTTCTTCAAATTCTGAAAGATCACATGTAGCATCAGACAACACAAATATGCAAGTAAAAGGATCCGGTTCAGATGTCTTTAGAGTTAGTGTTTCTAGTGCTCCCAGTACTTCTAGCCATGGTTCTGCACCGGATGATTGTGATGCTTTAGGTGATGTATACATATGGGGTGAAGTCATATGTGATAATGTTGTCAAGCTTGGGGCTGATAAAAGCACTAGTTACTTGAGCTCAAGAACAGATGTGCTTCTTCCCAGGCCATTGGAATCCAATGTGGTTTTAGATGTTCATCATATAGCCTGTGGTGTCAGGCATGCAGCCTTGGTCACGAGACAGGGTGAAGTTTTTACTTGGGGTGAGGAATCTGGAGGGCGACTTGGCCATGGTGTTGGGAAAGATATTATTCAACCTCGTCTTCTTGAATCTTTGACAGTTACAACTGTTGATTTTGTTGCTTGTGGGGAATTCCATACTTGTGCTGTTACAATGGCCGGGGAACTTTATACTTGGGGAGATGGCACACATAATGCTGGGCTTCTTGGACATGGTACTGATGTCAGTCACTGGATACCAAAGAGAATATCAGGGCCTCTTGAGGGACTTCAAGTTGCTTCAGTAACTTGTGGTCCATGGCATACAGCCTTAATAACGTCGATGGGGCAGCTCTTTACATTTGGTGATGGTACATTTGGTGTGTTGGGCCATGGTGACAGGGCAAGCATTTCATTTCCTAGAGAAGTAGAATCTCTCTCAGGGTTGAGAACAATTGCTGTTGCTTGTGGAGTGTGGCATACTGCTGCTGTTGTGGAGGTTATTGTAACACAGTCTAGTGCAAGCGTTTCATCAGGGAAATTGTTTACTTGGGGTGATGGAGACAAGAATCGTCTTGGACATGGAGATAAGGAAGCTCGACTTAAACCCACATGTGTGCCTGCATTAATTGATTACAATTTTCACAAAATTGCTTGTGGGCACAGTTTAACTGTTGGCTTGACCACATCTGGACATGTGTTTACAATGGGGAGTACTGTATATGGTCAACTGGGGAATCCCAATGCTGATGGAAAGATACCATGCCTGGTTGAAGATAAACTTGCTGGGGAGTGTGTTGAAGAAATTGCTTGTGGTGCTTATCATGTAGCAGTCTTAACATCCAGGAATGAAGTGTATACATGGGGAAAGGGTGCTAATGGAAGATTGGGCCATGGAGATGTTGAAGATCGGAAAACACCAACTTTGGTTGAAGCTCTGAAGGATAGACATGTAAAATATATTGCTTGTGGCTCAAATTATTCTGCAGCTATATGTCTTCATAAATGGGTATCTAGTGCTGAGCAGTCTCAGTGCTCAGCATGTAGACAGGCTTTTGGTTTCACTCGGAAGAGACATAACTGCTATAACTGTGGACTTGTTCACTGCCATTCATGCAGTTCAAGAAAAGCAATAAGAGCAGCATTGGCACCTAATCCAGGCAAACCATATCGTGTTTGTGATTCCTGTTATGCAAAACTAAACAAGGTGTTAGAATCTGGTAGCAATAACAGGAGGAATGCTATGCCTCGCCTTTCAGGTGAAAACAAGGACAGATTGGACAAGGCTGATATTAAATTGTCCAAGTCAACAATGCCTTCCAATATGGATTTGATTAAGCAGTTAGACAGCAAAGCAGCCAAACAGAGCAAGAAAGCTGATACTTTTTCCCTTGTACGCTCCTCCCAAGCACCTTCTTTTTTACAGCTGAAAGATGTTGTTCTCTCTACTGCTGTTGATATGCCACGAACGACTCCTAAACCAATTCTCACACCATCTGGAGTAAGTTCCAGGTCTGTGTCACCTTTCTCAAGGAGACCCAGTCCCCCTCGATCTGCCACACCCGTTCCTACAACTTCAGGACTTTCTTTCTCTAAAAGTATTACTGATAGTTTGAAGAAGACTAATGAACTTTTGAATCAAGAAGTGCTTAAGCTGCGAGCACAGGTATTCTCAAGTTCCTTACTTTTTTATATATTCTTAGGGGCCAAATGCAGGGCGGGTGGTGGGGGGCATTTATGTAGGCCCTCATGTTCAAATGTACTATCTTAATCTTGATGATTATGATTATGATGTAGGTTGAGAGCCTAAGACAAAGATGTGAGCTCCAAGAACTAGAGCTTCAGAAATCAACAAAGAAAGCTCAAGAAGCTACGGCAGTTGCTGCAGAGGAATCTGCAAAAGCTAAAGCTGCAAAAGAAGTTATCAAGTCACTAACAGCTCAGGTTATTACTTTTATATGTTCCTTTGTTTAAGGTTGTTCTTGATCCAAACTCATGCTTTCCATATGGTATAAGTTATTCAGTATCTTATCTGCCATTATATTGAATCTGGTGAAGTAGAATTCTCTTTAGAAAGAAGAAGCTGACTTGATTTCACTACAAGTTTAGGCTGCAAACCTGTCCTTAAAATTGACTATTTTAGCAGTGGAAAAAAAGTCGTAAATATTTGTTTGTTGGGGCATTGTTTGAAGCGCATTTTGGACTTTGGAAATTGAGTTTAAGCGTTCCTTCAAAACCTGCTTTTCTCATTTCACTATTTCTTGTTAAATTTTCTTTTATGTAATTAGTGCTTTTGATGATAGTAATCTTGATTTTATTCTTCTGGATTATCACAGCTAAAAGACATGGCTGAGAAGCTGCCACCTGGGGCTTACGACTCTGAGAGCATGAAGCCAGCTTACCTACCAAATGGCTTGGATTCAAATGGAGTTCATTATTCAGATGCAAATGAAGAGCGCCATTCAAGATCTGATTCAGTCAGCAGCTCTATCCTGGGTTTTCCCACAGGAATTGACGCGATCACTTATAATGGATCTGGAAACCTTGCACACTTACTCCGGGAACCTACTGGAGCCAATGGGAGGGATGACCATCAAGATACCAGACTGCCAAATGGTAGTGGCGGGGTTTATGCTAGTAGCAGTCGTATGTCAGAATCTGAGGATGGAAAAGATTCTGGTTCTTTCCAAGACGGTGAGAATGGTATGAATTCTAGAAATTCTGCAATGGCTGTCAACGGTAATCAAGTTGAGGCTGAGTGGATCGAACAGTATGAGCCTGGCGTGTATATAACTCTTGTAGCATTGCGAGATGGAACCAGAGATTTAAAACGAGTGCGCTTCAGGTACTTCTGTTATGCTTTTATCCAAATTCATGCAGGAGTGGCTTAACTCATATATATGGTGTTAATTTTATGTGTCATGGGCCTAGTCCAATTTAATGTGCTTTTGTTCTTGAGATATGATATTAGATGCTTTAATATAGTCATTTTACAACACCTGACACTGTTCACATTTCTGCAGCCGGAGAAGATTTGGTGAACATCAAGCTGAGACTTGGTGGTCAGAAAACCGTGAAAAGGTATACGAGAGATATAACGTTCGTGGACTGGACAAATCGACTTCTGGGCAGGCCGCCCGTAGATCAGAAGGAGCCGTCTCACCCACTTCCCAAATTTAGCAACAAGGCCAGAAATAGGGAGGTTCAGCATTAACACAAATTGTACCAATGACGAAGGATAATGTCCAAGCAGAGTTGAAGCGAAGCAAAAATCCTTCTTTTTCTTTTGCCCATTTTTTTTTTTTCCTTTTTTTTTTTGACGCCCACCTCTCCACTTCTTTTTTAATTAATTTTTCGTTTTTCCATTTAATTTATGGGTATCTATCTGCCCTTTACAGATCTCTTGTATTGTAGTGTATATAAAATCATCATCAATTGTGCGGTCACCCTAGCAAAAAAGTTTTTGTTCTTAGCTTTCTACATCCCCACAGTTGTTTTTGTTGCCCATATATTTAGCTTTATTTCATATTTATTTAGAATTAAGGAAGAATCCTCTTTTGATCTGAGGTTTTACCATAATTTTTAGGAGGAAAATCAGGAATGCATAACACTTGTAACACCTTTTATAATGAGATGAAACAAATGTATCATGTTTTTAGGAACTTGTATAATATATTATCAAATAAAAAGAAAAGAAAATTTAGTATGTCTCTGCCGGGAATTGCTGCAGTTTCTTGATTTGATTATAAAGGGAATGGTATTATAATATAATTGGATAAGATTATATGATGAAATGTGGCGTAGATTGAAGCTTTGAAATGGCATTAATGGTGATGCGCTTTCAATGTTGGGATTTGACTGTTTCTTCGGATTTGGAGATTAAGCGATCCCAAATTTAGGCCAACTTCAAAAGTAATAAATTTTTCTGTTGGTTGAAGTCCAAGTTACGAAAGTACACCATTTAATAATTCTTTTTCCTTGTTATTTCAAATATCATCATTCTCTGTTTGAATAGAGCAGAGGATGCACAAGCTGAAAACCAAATATTTATTAAATTAATTTTTCGATAGTTAAAAAGTGTTATATCCTTCAACTCCAAAATAATTGAAATGACAAACGGGCCCAAGATAATAAAAAAAAAAAAGAAAAAAATTGAAATGATGTTTGATAGACAGTATTAACAAAACCTTTTCTTTATTTCTTTTTTTAAAGAAAACAAATTGGTTATAGACTTTGGTTTATTTTTTTTAACCCTATAAAAAATAGTTAAATCTCAAGTACCATAATTATTTTCATAAAATATCAGAAACCTCCTTGAGTAGGAGGTTTTTTTTTTTTTTTTTTTTTTTTTTTTAGTTTGCGATACTTTTAGGGGACTTTTAATAATAAGGAGAATAATGATTTTAAAAAAAAATCCTTGAAGAGTTAGAGATTTAAGTGTTTCTCATGGCAAACAAAATTAACCCTTTAAACTTTTATAGGAAAAATGAAGTAATGAACTTTAAATAGTACTCTATTTTCAATTTTAGATATTATTTATGTTTTAAATAATTAAAAAAAAATTGCCTAGGCATTAGGCTTCTTAATGGCGCAACTGCACCCTGAAGAGTAGATAGAAATAGAATGTGAAATGTGAAGTGAAAACAAAAACAGGCAGAGTGGCTCAAATGTCATTTCTGTCCCATCCTTTTAGTTTTTCTCTATTACCAATTTGTCCTCTTTATTTTCTACAAACTTTTTATTAAAAAAAAAAAAATGCCAAAGTTGATGACTTACATCAGACTTAAAGTTACCGTAATTAACTTAATTACTTTCCAATTATAGCACATTTTACTCTTCTTAGAGAGAATTTTACGTACAATAGATAATGTTACTTTTGCAAATAAAAAAAACGAGTGTATAGTTATTGGTAATTAATACATATGTTATTATCACCCTTTTTAAAATATTTTAGAAAAAATTACATATCTCATATCAGTCAGTGATAAATTTTGTGTTCAATTTATAAGGTTCGGGTTCACCTAATTAATAGATACTTAAAGTGAAGGAGGCTTAATGCGTTAAAAGTAAACTTATACGAACATAGATTCGAAACATAAAATTTGTACTTAATTAGACTGAGATTCCACAGTCATTATAACCAAAGTTTAGTGATAGGGCTTTAATTGTCGTCATATTTAGGATGGGAGTTGTGACAAAATCTCCTGGCATACATTATAATAACTATCTAATCAGATTATCAACCATCAAATTCTCTCATCGATCTTTGCTAAGTTTATTTATGATGTTGTAGTTCTAGATTGTCAATTTATGACGTTACTCAACACATATTCCACACGCTTTGGTCAAAATTGACGGTGATCTTGGTGGATTAGGTCAAACCATTTTCATTTTCTTTAAAATAAAAAAAAACATAGAGAGATGAACTGGTTTTAGGTGAGAGCAAATTATGGTGATCTTTGCTTCATTTAACACTTCAATGCAAGATATAGAGGACAATAATTAGAATTCTAATTATAAACTACAAGAGTCAACCCAGAGAAATGAGCAAATTTTCAAAGGAAGTTCGAACATGTTAGAAACAAGGCATTTTTTTTCACTCTTTTGTCTCACCAAACCCGATTGAAATTCCCCTCCATTGAAATTTAAACTTCAATTTTAACGACATTTGAACTTAGTCGGTTGGCAGTTAGGTTTTTCTTTTTAGATATTAGAGAATATGAAACTGATGAAACCTTCTAACATTGACATATTCCTCCTCATTATATCATGCTTCGTTTAATTAAAACAACCACCACGTATTCCTTTCACAATCCATGTTCATATTGATAGAAGATTGAATCTAGTTTTGAATCACACCACAATTTCATCTAATTTATTTAATTAATTGCAATTTAAGGAGTCATTAATCCACCCAAAACACTTGTGTATAGATCTGTTTTTTTAGATTTTATGTCGTATAATGGATAATATTGACATAAATATACTGTAGAGTTTACAACAATAATCATTTCCTTCAACATCTTAAATCACAAGTAATTAACGCGAGATTTAATTAATTAAAAACTGCAAAAATTATATATAAAAGAAAAAAAAAAAGAGAAGTAATTGTGGGAAGAGATAGAGAAATGTAGATGAGTAGGTAGGGTCGTGCAAATGTAAGATGGATGTTATTGAATAATAATTATGAAATATTCAGATCGAATCAGAGAAGAAGATCACGTCACCCAGTCATAGTCATCTTTTCAATTGTGTATTGCCTTGCACGCTTTCGAATTCAAAGCTGTATATCACTGTGATCGACCACTTGAAAGAAGGAGTTTCTGATCGATCAACTCATCAAGAATTTTTTTTTTAATGTGTATGCATGATAGAACATTGTTAATATTGCATTTGGAGAGTTTTCTGAATGATTTATTAAGAACCCATTTGCAAGAGATCAAAATGATGAAGATTATAAGTAAGAATTTGATAATTTGCATGATTCATGCCTTTATATTATAATCTGGACATTATCAAATTGAGCCCAGAGCTTCTGTACAATGTGAAAACTCGCTAAACTTTAACACTTCTTGAAGAAAAAGGACAGGGATTTCACTAACATATAATATGATGATGATGATGAACAACTTCTAGAAAAATCAAAAAGCAAGTAAAAGAAAGAGTACCCACGTAGCGATAAATTAATTGATGATAATCCCATGTTCATCTTCTTGATTGTTTTATCATGAACATTCAGTTGAAGCTAGCTTCCAAAAACCCAAAAATACTTAATTGCTCTTCATGGCAATCTATCTGAACTCTCTAACCCTATGTCGTTGTGTTTCTTGGAGGGACCTGAAGGTGGAATTGGAACTCCTTTTGGAAAGAAACCAGAGATAGTACGTGGTGAATTGTGAGATTTTGTTGGGCTCACTTTGAAAACTTGAGAACTGTGTCTTGAACCCTGAGTGTTGCCAACCAACAAAAATACCAACCAAAACATGAGAATCAGATATCTTTTACCCATACCCATTTAAAAAGAGAAAGAAACCAAGAAACTCCAAAAAGAGAGAGAAAGAGAGAGATTGATTCTGAAGCTAGAACAGTTGAAAGCAGTAGTGGGCAAATTAAGTTAATATTATTAACAAAATGTGAATGTTGGTAGTAGTAGTAGTAGTAGTAGTAGTAGTGGTGAGTTGCGGTGGATTGTATAAGAAGGAAAGGTTGAAACATGTTGAAATAAATGCATGTTGGGTCATGTGGAGTTTTCTTTGTAAAAAAAAAAGATTAGCAAATGAGAGAGATGGGCAGGTTGAAGAAAGAGAAAGAGAGAAAGGGTTTGAACTTTGAACGGGTCTTAAGGATGAGTGTTTTGAGTAATAATGGAATGATGAAACACAAAAGGGGGCGAAAGGGGATTTGGGTTTAGCCAAGAAAAACGTACAAAATAGTTTGAAGAAAAAGAGGAAGGAAGAGTTTGAAATTGGTTAGGTGAGAATGTGGGGACATCGCTAATTAATTGGCCGACTATCAAAAAACTGAAAACTGTTTTGTTTTCGTCTTAAGTCCCACAATATGGAGCCTTGTTTTTCTTTGTCTTATAAGAGGAGTAAATTCATTTTATAGTTAGAATAAATTTTAACCCCCAATCTATGAGAGATGATACGTTACTACCCCCTTGGTTTCAGAAACACCCAAATTACCTCTATTTCTTTTGAATTCAGATGTTAAAACTTAATCATGAGAGGGTAATTTTGTTAATTAATCTTACATATATAACATTATGGAGATAAAAAACCTAATCTAACATTATGAATTGACACAATTACCTTTTAACAGTTGAGTTTTAACGCATGAATTTGAAAAATGGGGGTAACATTGGGTGTTCTTGAAACTAAAAGGGAGGAAATTGTGCTTTCATGATAGATTGGGTGTGAAAATGACGTTCAGGCTATTTTATATTTTTGTTTTCATTTTGTATTGCTGCAATTAAGAGGGAGCTGGTAATGGTAATGGTTAAGGTTTTAAAACCCGACCCAGGGGTGACCTGTTCAGGTAACCGGGTCATGGGTTAACCGATTAAACCAACGACTTAACCAATGATTTAACATGTTTAAAATCTAGCAAATACACCCTTAATAAATACCATTAGACCCTATAGGTTTGAAATCTAGCAAACACAACCTTTGGCCAAATGCAAATCGACGATCGATTGGGAGAGTGGTGGCGACACACCAGGGAGGGTAGATCGGGTGATGGGTAGGACGAATCGGCAGATAGCAAGTTGAGGATTTGCCGAAAAATGGCAGATCGGTGGTGGAAGTCAAAGGTCATGGTGGCTTTTTTTGGCGAGATGGCTGTGGTTCTTCGTGAACGACGGCAAGGGAGCTTAGGAGAAGGTAGATCGGTGACTGAGGAGACCTCTCGATGCTGGAGAAGGTCGATCGGCGTTAGAAAATGGAAGAAAAATTGATGGACAACGAAACATCGTGCCGCGGCGGGAGATGAAGCGTCATGACCTTGGAAAAAGTCAGAAGATGGTTTTTGACAGCAAGGGAAGGTGAAAGTCGCCGGAAAAGGGGAGGTCATCGTCGATTTGCATTTGGTCAGAGGGTATGTTTGTTGGATTTCAAACCTTTAGGGACTGATTGTATTAATCAGGGTGTGTTTGCAAGATTTC